AAAAAAAAAAAAAAAAAAAAAAAAAAAAAAAAAAAAAAAAAAAAAGAAAGCTAATTTTGCAGACAGGTTTACATGTAAGAGGCTAGGTATTTAGCCACCTCAGCATTGATTAGTTTTGGATGTCTAAGCTCTGATACACATGGCTTCCCATGGCTTCACTCTACAAAATATATTTACAACGTGAAGAATACATCTACAAGAAATCTACATTTCAAGGGTTTTACAAATCATTCTTGTATCTTTCCCCTGAATTTGACTCCCTCCTGTCCCCTTCCCCATGTCAACTTTTTTTCTGCCCAGCTCAACGGTCCAAAGTCTACTCAAATGCAGCTCAAAAGTGTTAAGACTGGGCATCAGTTTAATAGTTCCTGTACTCAAAACCATGTGCAATTGTTTACAACTTTTCACACCATGAAGGAATTCTGATTCTTTAGCTTTTCAAGTTCTTTAATTTGTTGCCTCAAAAATAGTATCCTGTAAGAGAAAAGAAATAAATTAGTATAAACATTTCCATTATACAGATATATTGAACATCTACGTAAGTACTTCTGCAATCTCAGTGAAAGGTAACAAGTTCTTTAGCTCCACTAACAAAATTCATATATTAAGTTAATTCCCAATCTGTTCAATAACTTCCAAACATTGTATGCAGATGCACAGAGACCTGGTGTGTTTGAAACCTTAGTTCCAAAATTGTTCTATTTCATTATGCCTTTTAAGTTTCATGTAAATATTCTATAAAGTCCAAAGCAACTTTGATCAAACAAGAAAAAGCATCCAATTCAGGAGACTTTTATAGAACACTTTTCAAATATGTGGCCAGTTCAGTAAAAATGAATTTTCTACAGAAAAGTAGGTGAAAAATTACTAAAATAGACACACTGAAAAAACCCATTTAACTTAAAGGTATGGGCATATAAGATACAGCAATCAATGAAAAGTGCCTTTTCACATGCTCTCAGTTATGGTTAAAACGATGTATTTGCTTTGCCTAGAGATGAAGTTCCTTCTCAGGAGAAATTTAAATAGTTCTCTTCTGTGCAGAAGTACAGAAATAATAACATTCAAATGTATTGTCTTTGATAATCCCATCCTTTGCAAAAGCCTCCCCCCAATCAACTTGTTACTTATGCCATGTATTCCACATCTTTGGGATTGCAGCAAAAATAAAAGATACATGTTACCATAGATTCAAAGTCATAATAATCCTTATTCACTGACAGCTTAAGGACACACAGTGTACAAGAAACAAGGTGCTACTTAGTGAGCTGAACAACGACATTTGACATGTTATTTCAGATCAAATGCTCACTCAGAAACAGAAGTGACACCTGAGGAAATGAACCCTGTAAGAAACCAAGCAGTTCATTAAATATGCTATGAAAATTGTGATTTATGTAGTGAAGTCATGAAATAAAACTTCAGAAAGAATGGCTATTTTCAATTCTTTATCAGGAAACATTTACAAATGTATGATAGCATGCTTCTAGAGCATTGTTTTACTAACTGCCAAAATGTAAGAGCTTCTAGGATAAAGGTAGCTATTTAAACATCATGCAATGCTACTAAGGCAGCTTCAAATAGTAAATCAGAATCACTGTTCAAACTGCAGTGTGACTTAATAGGTGGGATATCTCTCAGAAGGGAAACTGAGTACAACAGCAGATTCAGGATCATGACTACTGGTGAAAAGTTTGAGCATGTATTGTAAAACTAAAGTTTTCAGTCTTGCACAACATACACAACTTTTGGTTGTGTATGGCTTCAAAGATGCACAAGATACCTGCTATTACTGACTTAAGAAGCAAACAAAGTCTACTTTGCTATAAGCAAAACATTATCTTTTCCTTAGCTTGTGATGTAAACTACACCTGTTTGAACTTGCTCCTGCTTTAGACCTAACAGATGTCTCACATAACCCTCAGTGTTTCAGATCAGCATAAACTGTGCAGACGCATACCTGTGTGATCTATGCATCACGTATGAGCAGATATTCTAGAAGCATGCTAAAACACTGAGTTAGCCGTTTTCTGTAATGCACTGCAGTATCTGCACAGATACTTTTCTGTGCAAGTGGAACAACAAACATAGAAGTTGTGTATCTGGTTCTGTCCACCAGAGGCCAAGAGCTGTCTGTGTGGAGAACAGGCAGAATGTACACAGTAGACAGCCTGCAAATGCGGCAAGTACCAGCATACTTACAAAGTCACCAGTAAACAGAACTCACGAGAAACAATGCCAGAATGAGAGTTCTAATATCACCCTGAAAACTGAAGAGAAACACAGAGCACACACTTACCTTTGCTCACGCAAAGTTGCTTGAATTTCACATACTCGAACTAAAGACCTTAAATTCTTTAATTCAGTACAAATTTCTGACATATGGACACTTCCCATGTTATGGGCTTCCTCACGTAATCTTGACGCCTGCAATGTTTAAACATAAAGGTTAGGATTTTGAATCATGCATTGGAAACAACTGGCTGTAGCCAAAGAATTGCTGGATGAGTGTGTCTTGGAACAGCAAAGCACTCTGACTTCAAGAGAGTACTGAATTAGTACATTAAATTCTCTAGGAAAGCCCATTTAGAATCAGAAATTAACAACCCCAGATGCCCAAAAACTGTTTAACCCGGGCCTATGCTAAGGCAGGGAGAGTTTAGATTTTCTTGATCCTACCAAATGTTTACCTGACCATCTTGAAAGACAGCATGTGACACGACTCCGAGTTTCCAAAGCAATTTGTTCGGGCAGTTCAAACTCTCCGCCCGTTATTTCCATGGCAAACTTAAATCTCCCAACTAAATTAACCCACAGTGACAAAAGTAACTGAATGCCATCTACTTTCCAGCTACCTCATACATGAAAAAAACCCTTTGCAACCTTCTTCAAGCTTTTCTTCCAGAGAAACTCCATTAATCTAATACCCCCACTTAGTCACCTGGAGACAGGCAGAAGTATAAATTTAGAGGGCATGAGCTATTATCAATTCCCAATTTGTGCAATCTTGTCACTGAACTGGATATGACTCCAGAGAACTCCTCAACAGCACCAAGGAGACCAGTATAACTACTCTGAGTTCCTGTGTACTACACTGCAATAAGGGAACTTCTTGCAAGTGGCACATGGCAAAAATTATTTCAAATACAGCCTTCCCAGCAGCATTACTGTTCAGGAATGTTATTCTCTGCTGTACTGGGTCTGGCTGGGATGGAGTTAATTTTCTTCATAGCAGTCCATGTGGTGCCATGTTTTGGATTTGTGACCAAATCAGTGCTGGTAACACATCAATGTTTTAGCTATTTCTGAGCAGAACCTACACAGCATCAAGGGTTTTACTCCTTTTCTCTCTGACCCCCTGTCCACCCAGCAAACAGGTTATGGTGGACAACAGGCAGGGAGGGAACAAAACTGGGACAGCTGACACAAACTGACCACAGGGATATTCCATACCATACAATGTCATGCTCAGCAGTAAAACTGGAGGGTTGGCTGGTGGTAAGAGACTACTTTTGCATCACTTTCCCCCACCCTCTTTTACTCATCAAGCTGCCTTTACCTCAACTCATGAGTTTCCACACTTTCGCCTTTCCAACTGTCCCCCATATCCCATTGGGAGAGAGTGAGCAAGCGGCTGCGTGGTGCTTAGCTGCCTACTGGGATTCATCCACAGCATCTGTTTAAGTACTTGTATACTTGTTTTTTCCTTCTCAAAAACAGTGTTATTTAACATAGGTCTTCATCAGCTTCTGGCATTTCTCCAGTTCAAAGCAGCGCTTGTATACTAAATCCCTACATTACAAGTTTGTTTTTCTGGACTGTGTTAACATCCAGGAGTACCCTGGCTTCCAGTAGGACATCATTTCACGTCTTCCCAGCACAACTTCAATTACTGGATTGTTTTTCAATTTTCCATATTAACTGCCTTTTTTATGAGTTGTGTGAGATAACTGCTAGTGGTTCAAGAATAGTTTTAGCTACTAATTACTGCACAGTACATTTCTTCAAGTCTGTCTGCTTTAGCACGTACCTGTCCAGGCTCATCTAATTTATTTACTTATTTATTTTTTAGTTTACTCTGGAATGTGCTTTTATATCCTAATTTTAGATTACACTATGCACTTGCCACCTATCTGAAGAAACCAAGGCACTGCATATTTTAGTCTCTGCACTCTGATCTATCTCACCTTCTTCACTACATACTGCACCTATACTTTTTAATTCACTTTTTCTTTTGTATCAAATATCTCCATTACTGCCTCAAGTGTTACTATTCAAAACTAGCCTATAAACAACACTGTCATGTGAAATAACATGAAAGAGCAGACAGGACAATACAAGCATGTAACACTTGCACAAAGGTAAAAGTATCCAACTGAGTACATGACTGCCTACCATTAGCTGAGTTTTTTGATCTCTTTATTACCAGCAAGGGAAAAAAAAACCCTCAAAACCCTATGCACTACATAAATCTATTTTCTGTTTTAAGATATATGTGAATTTAGTAGACAGTGAAAATAGTACCTTTAAAACTACAGGCCAAGGCCATAGAGAGCAGTGCCTGTGGTGCATCATTTCCTTAAAGACACTCCACAGCAATGGCTCAGTGGTCTGACTCAATACAGGTTGGTAACATCTTAAAATTTTTAAAAAATCAATGAAAAGAAACAAGAACCCCTAACAGGGCATCAATCTAGACTGTGCTTTTAACAGTCATCTTGCAAGTTACCACCCAAAATCTCCAGTGTAGGCTTGTGCCAGCATGCAACCACTCTTCAAAAGACCAAAGTAAACTGGGCTAGGTAAGACTGATATCCCAAACCAACTGCAGCAGACAGGGTAGCCTGTGAAAGGACTTGAACTACATTCAACAACCAATACAGTTCCTTGGAGTAATGCATTCCAAGCAGCTGACATTCATCCAGTTCCCTATATTACAACAACAGGATAGGTTTCATGCAGTTAGTTACAAAATATGGATGGCAGTTCTACTGGGTTCCCATTAAGTAAAAAAAATCCGAATTCAGTCTGAGTCCTCCACATTATCTTAAAAATTGGGTACAACCACCAAGGCAGAGTACCTTTTTCACTGGGTACAGCTAACAACTGAGTAATTCAAATTGCAGAGTAGCCTCAAACAGTTTAACTCTGTCACCTAATTCATAACATTTTCCACATAATGAAAAAATCACTTGAAAAAAAATCTGCTGAAATTCAAAAGGACTGGAATTTTAAGCAAGACTGAAAATACTCAACTGCTGAAAGGCAATCACATGTAAAACCTGCAGGTCTGGCCTAATCTCTCCTCCCTCTCCTCTTTCCTGGCTACAGACAAGCATCAGGGTTTTGGTTTTTTAAATACTTTTAATTCCTAGAACAAGCAACCTGAGTAAGAAAAGCAATTTTTAAGCTACATATTATGCACTCTCACAGGCAACAAAGCACAGGCAAACTCACCTGCTTTTCTGCGTGGTCTGCAGGCCAGCCTTGAACATGCTTTATAAGGTTTTCGTTGAAGTGTGCTGCTAGCGTAGGTGTCAATGAACAGGTGGGGCGTACAGATGGATTCTGCGGGGCAGGTGTTGAGTTTGATGCACTACTGCTAGAGGTATGATTTGGACCTGGTGATGGACTTCTTTGACTACTACAAGAAAAAATAAAAAAAAAAAGAAGTGAGCATTTAAAAACATCTGTGAACCTACAGAGAAAGAAACAGTGAAAATTTATTGCTTCCAGGCACAAAAATACATAAAGCATTCAAACCACAAATAAATCCTTCTGGTAGACCAAACCTGTGCCACTCTTCTACAAACCTCCTACGTCTATAGGAACAGTTTAATTGCTACAATTTAATAGCATTGGTGGGGCTTTTTTGTTGTTTGATTAGTGCTTTTTGTCTGTTTTTTAACTCTGATAGCTGTTCAAGAGATGTAAGCTGTGCCTACATTTAGGTGTTGGATAGAGAATAGATACATGTATGTTCTTCCTTCAGACAGTTGCAAACCTAGGATTTTCAGTAATGATGCTAAAAAAAAGTATCAAATGAGAGTCAAATATTCAACAGTGTATTGGCAAGTGTTGCAATAATCATTAAGAACAAAGCCTGATGTCCTGATCTAAAAATACAGCCATATGAGATATGAGGAGCAAAACCATTTACTACTAATGCCAAAATACAAACACCTAGATGGTTTTGTGACACTGTACATCTTCACTTAAGGCACACAGGAGAACAGAAGCATCACAGGAGCAGTATGTTTGTAACCAACAACTTGACTGCTTTACTGGAACATACTCACCGTAACAGAGGTGGTACCTCACAGTTACGATGTTCTTTGGCCCTACATATACTGAGAAATAGTAATACTAATTGTGGCAGTACTTAGACATTACTCCTAACAACTTTCCCACCGGCAGTACCTTTTCAGCAGAGGTCATAATTACAGTCTGTTTCTTAAAACTTTCTATCACTTGCAGGCAACAAGTAAGAAAGTATTATGAAGGAAAACCAAATTTTAAGGGCCTCCTGATTCATCACCTACCTACTCCCTTGAGGACTAAAAACATCCTAACAAAATGCAACTTTGTAGTCCAATGCCCAGACATTTATCCTAATCAACTCGCACTTCTGAAGAACTACAGCAGTAATAATTACAAACAGCCAACACAATGGCTGTCTGACAAGGCCCTGTTGGAACAAGGCCAGAGGAGAAGTCACCAAGCTGACCAGAGGGCTGGAGCACTTCTGTGAAGAAAGGCTGACAGAGCTGGGGCTGTTCAGCCTGGAGAAGAGAAGGCTCCAAGGAGACATTACAGCACCTTCCTATACCTTAAGGGAGCCTGCAAGAAAGCTGGAGAGGGACTTTTCACAAGGGCATGCAGTGATCAGACATGGGGAAATGGCCTTAAGCTCAAGAAGGGTAGATTTTAGGAAGAAATTCCCCACTGGAAGGGTGGTGAGGCACTGGAATAGGCTGCCCAGAGAAGTTGTGGATCTCCATCTCTGGAAGTGTTGAAGGACAGGTTGGATGGGGCTCTTCATAAACTGGTCTAGTAAAAGTGTCCCTGCCTATGGCAGGGTCAGTAGAACTAGATGATCTTTAAAGTCTTTTACAACCCAAACCATTCTATGATTCTATGCAATTAGGTACAGCACACTGGTCTGTAGCATCAAAGACTTTAATCTCATTCATTTCAGCATCCCCAAACTTGTTTAAAACCTTAGAATATGAAAAAAAAATCATGCACAAAAAAAAATTTTGGTAGGTGCTTTATTAAATTTCCCTTGATTTTAGGTATCAGAAGTTGCAAAAGTTACATCCCTTTGAAAAAAGGGAAAAAAGTGTTCTGTGTTCTCTTCAGTAACTGGCTTAACTTCTTTCAATGGCACTTACCCTGCAAACACTTAACTGTAGAAATGTTCAGTTGATTAAGAAAAAAGGGCATTCAGATTTTTAAAGAGCAGTTGAAAGCAGCCAAGAAGGTCAACTGCAACAAGGCTGTACATCAAGGGCAAATGAAAGGTTAAGGAACAAGCTGGTTTGCCCCTCTACAAGGCAAGGGGATTCTAGAGAAAAAAACCACATGAAAAAGGCTAGGAAAGTGGAACTTTTTTTTTTTTTGCTGGGTTTTTATGGGTATGGTCTGTGCTCAGACCTCCCAAAGGCCCAAGTACATCAGCAGCTGGCGAATGCAAAGTATTACCTACAGCAGAGGACAAAGTTCAAGAGTTAAACCAAGAGGACACCCATCTGTGAACGAGGCAGCAGACACCCAAGAGCAGTCAGGGAGCTGGCCAGTTAACTCAGGTGAGTCATCACCTTGAAGCAGCATGGGGAGCAGGCAAAGTCCCAAATGTTAAACCCATCTTTGAGAAGCACAAGCATGACAACCTGGGGAACTACAGGCCAGCTGATCTTAGTCTCTGGGAAAATTATGGAGCAAGTCTTCCTGGAAGGGGTTCCAGCTACACGAAAGACTAAAAGGCATTAAAAAAAGCCACCACAGAGTTACCAAGGAGGTATTATGCCTGACCAACCTCACTGCCTTCTATGATGAGATAACTGGCTCAGAGGACAAGAGCAAAGCAGTGACAGTTTCCTTGACTTCAGCAAGGCCTGTGCCACCACCTGCCAAGCCGTTCCCTTATCCAGGCCACACTTGATGTGGAGGGTAGATAAAAAACTGGATGAACTGCCGGGCTCAAAGGTGCAGTCAGTAGTATGAAGACCAATCAAAAGAGTGACTGATCAACACTGGGGCCAAGAGTCTTTAACATTTTTATTAAAACCCCAGACAGCGGGACACAGTGCACTTTCGGTGAGACTGCAGATGACACCTGCTTGGGGGGAGCAGTCAATCTGCTGGAGGTGACGCTGTTATTCAGAAGTACCTGAATGGGCAGACAGGAACCAAGTTCAAAAAATGCAAATGCAGAGTCCTGCACATGGGGTAGAATAAACTTGAGCAACAATACTGCAACAACCCACAGAACAGCACAGTGGGTAGAAAAGGACCTGGGGATCCTGGTTGACAAATTAAAAGGCATATCAAGCCAAGCACATTCTCAGCTGTATTAGCAAGAGCACGGTTGGAGAAAACAATTCCTCCCCTCTCCTCAGAGCTTAGGAGAGTCACAGTATCTGGAGCACTGCACAACAGGGAGCCCAAAACCAGACAAGAATTGAACTGCCACACCAAAGGAATCTGGCAGAGGACCACACAGGTGACTAAGGGCTGAAGCACGTGCCATACCAGAAGAAGCTATAAGTTTATTCAGTCTGGAAAAGAGAAGGCTGAGAGAAAGGGGGCTGAAGGATCTTCTTACAGATTTTTACTACTTATGGGGACAGAGTCAGTCAGGCTCTTTTCAGAGAAGGACAGTGATAGGAGAAGAGGCAGAGACACAAGTTGCAGCAAGGGAAATTCTAATTAGGAATGGGGGAAAAATAAAAGAAAAATCACCATAAGGGTAGTCAAACATTACAAGAAGATGTTCAGAGACGTTAAAAAAAATCACCTAAATAACACCCTTAGTAATTCAAACTTGCTAGTCCTATTTTAAGTTGGGACCTAAGTAGATGGTAACTAGAAGTGCCATCCAACTTAAATTATTCTAGGTTTCTATGTATTCTTAAAGCATCAGCATAGTGATGGTGCAGAGAAAGGCTACCTTTATTAACTAAGTAGAATTCAGGAATAACCCTCAATGCTTATTTACTCCTTAGTTCTAATAGTACTATAGTTCCCTCTATGATTTGCCTTCTCTCCATTTATCAGCCTGGCTTCTCTTTCACCTACTTCATTGAGGGGGGGATCAACCTAATACATCAAAAATGTTTAAGAAAAATAAATAAAATCCGCATGTTTCTCAAAAATAAAGCTGTACTTTAATTATGACTAGAACATACTGTCACAAGATATCCTAGCACTGCTGCGTTAACAGCAGGGGGAGCTATGAATGCAGCAATGGTAGTTCCAAACTTACCGCTGTATTTTTGAATGCTTCACTAAAGGCAAATACCTGCCTTAGCTTAGTTAAAGACTGACTATGCCACAGATAATGAAATGCCTCCAGAGGGGCAAAAACATCTCTACAAGGGTATGAGGACAGGATGGTTCTGAAATACACTACTACAAACTACAGTATCTTAAAACCTACAAAAGACAGAATGAAACATCTTCTCCTTCCAGCACTTTTCCAAGATAAAGGAAAAATGTTCCCAGTCCTTTCTGGAAACAAAAAGAAACTACCAACCTGATGAAACCAATAATTACAGAAACAGTTTCATTTTTAAAACAGTCATAATTCATGGCATGTCTTTGGAATAATCTCTGATAGACTCGCTGTATACCTGCAATGTGTTAACTTCCAAACTTCCATGGCTGAAATGTTCACAACTTTAAAGTCAGCAATAGCTACTCAGGTATTTTTTAAGCAGTGTTTCCTCCCCAACAAGTTAAAAATAATTGAATCTCCATTCACATCAGAAGTTTAATAATAGTAAGAGCAAAGGGAACGTAGTTGTGATTAACTTCTGCACAATTAACCTGTATTTAATGTGCAGAAAAATGCAATTTTTCTCCAAAAATTCACAGAGCTGAAAAGATTTTGGACCATCTGTCCACAGTTCAGGTTGCTAAGCTGTTGTTTACTCTTATACAAGTAAAGGACATTAGCCCCCAAGAGCAGTCCCAAATCCAACTGACTGCTTTCACCTCCTGAGTGATCTGTTCTGTATCAATTCAGAAATACTGCTTGACACAGGAAATCTTTTACAGAAAGTAAATCTATACCCGAGCCAGTTCATTTTCATTCAACTCCACTGCACTCAACAGAAGAAAATACCAGTTGCACAGGTTTTTCCAAGTCATCTGGTTCCTTAATCTTGCACTTTTTGCGAATGAGGCACTTCCAAAGCAAACTGAAACACATGAACTCATGATGCACGACATACCAGTCAAAAGGTGTATTAATGCGGTACAGGATACAATACCCACATTGTCACAGTATCTCTCATGCTGTCCCTGCACTGCCTCCTGCCCTGCCTCCCCCTCAACTACAGGATGGTTCTACCTGCACAACCCCCCTGCTGCAGCAGTGCAGCTGCCGGGACAAACTCAGCTCTCTCCACCAAAATGCTGGTGCCAAATGGAGCAACAGTTTGGAAAGGGACATCAGATCCCTAAAGGGATCTCACTGTGGGTAAGGGTTATGTCAGAGCAGAAAGTCTTATACTCAGAAGGAGGGTGGGGTATGGATTAACAGGTCAAAAGTCCACCAGTATCAACTCCCACAGACTCCAGGCCATGGCGAATGTTTCCAAGCATAAGATTATCTTTCTTAGGGCAATTTCCTATGGGGAAAGGATGACATGCAAAGAACAAAAAGGTCTGTGACTGAGAGCGGTGCCCCTAAACCTCACCACTCCTCAAAAAAAGGTTTAAAGTGCTGCAAAGTATAATTTTACTTTTGGTACTGTAATTCAGAAAGATTTAAACATCCATAATTCCATCCTTAATTACTAGAGACTGGAGTTGGTACACTTTGTCTTTATTGTCCTCAAAGAGATAAATGAGTTGTAGGTTTGTAACCTGACAAAGATTGGAAGCAAGTGTCTGTAAAATATCCAACATTAAAAACTCAAAAAATTCTGACTTGCTTCCATTTCAAACTGATCAATATCACAGGGTCTCCAGTACAGCCAGTTACTGGGACACAGCTGCCAAGTAAACAAAAACCCAACAACCAAAAATCCCGAAACACAAACCAAATCCCTTCTCCCCACAAAACAGGCAAAACCAACAACGATTTGAAAATCCAACAATAAGTTAGTGCATTGATGACACACAGACAAAGGTCCCCTTTGTTATTAGTCCCAGGAGGGCAGACAAAAGGATCTCACTATTTTATGATCTGGAAAGCACCGCTATGTAGCTTCAGGTATGCTGACAATGAAAGAGTGTTGTTTCTTTGCTTTTTTAATAGCATAACACACACCTTATTCAACTACTCTTAAAATCCAACTTTTAAGTACAACATTCAGAAAGTGATTTACAGATTTATAGAACTTCTAAAATTGTAGATTTACAGAACTTCTAAAAAAGTCAACCTGCAACTTCCTCGTGTCATACGTCTAGACCACGACTCCATCACAAATGGATCTTATGAGAGATCTTTGATTAAAGCCCCTCGCACTGATGTCACAAAATGCACAGCATCCAACACTATGAAGAGCCCACCTTCCCAACAGAAAAACTTCAAACAATACAGATTCTTAACCACTGATTTACAAGAATCTGGGTTTAACATTCATATCCTGCAACACCTGAATAGGCTGCAATGTTGACAACAAAGTCTGGCCAAGGAAAAGCATTCGTGGAACTTTCTTAATCTTTGATGTTTTTCACTAAAGCAGCAAAATCACCTGCAAGACACCACAAACATCTAATGCTAAGAAAATCACACAGAATTACAGCATTTAACTCCATAGCTCCACAGAGAAACAAAACCTCCAAACTTGGAAATCACAATACAAAGAATCACTCAACAAATCCTCTTTGACTCCAGAGTGACAGGGCACAAACATGAATTCTGTTTTGCTTCTGAGAAGGGAACTCTTGTGGTTATTCTAAAATGAAGAACCTACCACATTATCTGTAATAGAGACATTTAGCTGATTCCTCTCAGTAGCAACAAAGTTAAATAGTATGTTTAATAAACAGGCCAGAGAAGAGTCCACAGACTGCAACATATACAACACACATCCAGAGGAAAAAAATGAGGACAAAACAGAAGTGTTTCAATGTACCTTGAACGCTGAAGACTTCGTGGAGAGGCAGGTTCATGACCTGCCTGCTTGTCAGCTATTACCGGCTGCTGAGGTGCTGCCTGGGAAGCTGGTCCTTGTTTAACACCTGGAGTAGCAACCTGGAAAGTTCAAAACTTTATTAGATTTCCTCCACAGTAAAGAGCAAGTGAAAGAACCACAGAACACCATGGAAATTAAAAATTACAACACTGGCGGGGGTTTTTATTATAGAAGGTCGTTTGTTGACAGAATTTTTATTCTCTTAATGAGGTGTTTTGGTTTTTTTTAAAATCATCTCTAGTTCCACAGCTGTGACAGAGAGCTTTTTTTTCTAAAACAGAAAGAGTACTTAATGGCCATAACAGAAGCAAATTTAGATCATCTGACCTGTCAAAATATTGCAAGTTTTTAAGGTAAAATACTTCAACTCAGTATCATTTTCACCATATCTTCCACTGAGCACCAAACTTATTTTCAACCTTGGAAGAGTTGTCCATTATCCGAATAAAAATTTTCATTTAAAAATAAAGAGTTTCCTACTTGAAAATACATTACACAGTGCCAAGAGCAGAATTACATCACAACCACATTATAACATCTCTACAAGAAATGGAGAAGAAAATCGAAAGCATATTTATCAGTCTGTGACTCCCTCATTAACTGTTCTGTCAGTTCTCAACTCGTGAATGACTAATTTTAGTCACCAGTAGCTTCCTGCTTTTCCTTTGCAGAACACATTCAATACAAGATACTGAGATACCAGCTGTGAGACACAGACTTTTTTCTGTGAATTTCTGATCTACAGTAGGATGAAAAGTTTGGTGACATACTAATGTCTAAGTTACACTAAATGATGTTCAAGATACTTGTTTTTGCCCAACGCTTTGCATACCTCAGTCAACTTGACATACGTACAAGAGAGGATCGGATTCGAAATTTATCCCCTGCTCTGCAAAACCAAGCTAACAATTTTGAGAGGGAGGGAGCAAAGAATAAAATGGGTTCCAGGGATCCATGAAGACAAGAAATAAATCATGAAGCCTGTCTGGCATTTGCTGACATCACGCTGGTGTAGATTACCAATTAGTGCTCACCTGAACCTCTAGAAATTCTCTGTTTGAGAAACATGGCGAGCCAGACAGTACCTGCTGAAGTAAATTTAAGACTTAACTTGATTTATTTAGGTACATTGGGAATCTTAATGTAAATTCAAACCTACTTATATGTCTATGAGGAAAAGTCACCTTTTAAAGTTATCAAAGGGTGTTCTTTGTGGCTTTTAGATTAATAGACACATATTAAAAAAATTTTGAATAGTACATGAAAAGGCCATGGTTATAGAAAGATAAAGCAAGATTAGTGTAAGATTACATTATTGTTGAAAACAACAGATCTATATAGTTGAGGGGGGTGAAACAGTAGCAGTTCCTAAACTGATTTATGAAAACAGACTACCAAGTACCTTTGTGACATGTATGACATGAAGACATTTGCTATCAATGCCTGAATTTTGCTCAGCTTGTGAGCAGACATTAATTATCAAGGCTGTTCAAACAGAATAGAAGGAATAATTTCAAAAGGAAAGTCTATCACAGATAATAGCATCACCTTGCATATCCAAACTGGAAAAGTAACCACCTCCTTAGCTGGTAAAAATAAAGAAAATGGACTGTAAAGAAAAACTGGGACTTACGAGGTAAACACAAAAGCTCTTAACTATTCCACGTTTTTCACTGTTTGAAACAATATAAATATGTATAACAGAAACAGAAAAACAGTAAGGGCTAAATAAATTTAAAAAAATACCACAAGCAATATTCTGAGTTTGACAGGTCTGTGTAATGTGCTTTACACAGTTATTGTGCAGAAATTCAGAACAGTTTCTAATCACACAATACAGGGCCAGCTAAAATCAAAATGTGACACCCAGGATCCTGAGTCTGTGACACCCAAGCTGCTGTGCGCACACAGCACACCTCCACCCAGACACACCAGCTGGAGCTTAAAAGCAGCACTGACGTGTTCAAGCAGTCCTAAGTAACAGAGCCCCCCGTGCAAATGGTGCTACACTAGTCCCAGAACAGCCCAAGTACCTGCCCAGCTGGCACTGGGCTCTGCTTGCACAGCGCCAGTCCAGCCTCGTCTGCCCTAAGCCCATGGGCCTTTGCTCTGAAACCAACTGAGTCCTGGCACAGCACCGTATCTTAATTAGGCATAATTTATTCAAACTCTTAGAACTGGATAAGCTAGCCTGCCTGACACATCTGAAGGGCTGCTAAAACAGACATGTTCACATTGGAGCTATCACCACCAAAGTTCTCATCTCAGTCTCATCTCATGGAATTGAATTACACAAACACAAGAACTATCAACACAATTCTTTCCCCAGTAAGCTGGGAACATATCTGCTGCTGAACCAAAATTTGTTACTTCTGGGACTAACACACAAACAATGTTAATACTTCAATAGCTCTGTTAGCATCAGATCTGAGGAGCATAAAACCCAAGAAAAGATCCTGCTGTCAAGCATTACCACTAGTTCTGTTTAGCTATCTGTGAAGCTACTTGAGATAATGAGAAAATTGAAAGCTTTTATGGTTATGATATCTCAGGATAGTAAGAGTTATAACTTCTTTGCAGAAGGATGAAAATAAAAACTTGCTAATGTCTATAATAATGAACAACAGTCCCTCAGGATTAACAGCATTCTGCACCAAAAACACTCCAGCTTAGAATGAGTAACTTGGAAATTTACTACACTTACCAGTTGGATTGCAAACATATTATACCTGCTTCAAAAATAAACCAGACATGCAACCTCACCTCACTGAAGTCCAATCTTAATGAAAAGTTGGATTACAATATAATAACAACTTCAAAATGTGCCTCTGTATGCCAAAACAGAGACACCACCACTTTCAGAAGAGTTTCTATATATGTATCAATAAAATACAGAATACTCTATTTTGAAAATACCAGAGGTGAAACCCTGCCTGCCAAGTCACTAACTACAGGGAATCACAGAGTCTTGCATCTAAGTGGAGATTCTCGTATCAAAATGTAAAATAACCAACACTACGTTGTTTTCAGTACTGGTAGCCTTGCTGCAGTTACAACTCGTATCGGCTCTTCTCAGACCTGCATTTAGCATCGAAATTTTCTGCTTCTACTGAAAACCTGAGGGAAGGTTTGTGTGTCCAAAAGCATATTCAAATATACAGTTGGTCTACCAAGACAGACTGGCCCTACTTAGAACGCTTGGCTTGCCTTCACTTTCTCTTAAAGGCGCAGTTTCCTACCACTCCACCTACTTCACAGGTACAGTGCTGGCCTCTACACTGGGGAGAAGGCAGCAAGTTCAAGACTGCATGCACAGTTCTAGGAAAACACCTGCAGCAGGATGGTAAATACTAAAGAACCTAAATTCATAAAACAAGAATAAATTGGGAGGGTGAGGGTGGAAGGGGCTGTCTTTCCTATGAGTTGTCTTTCCTATGAGTTTTCTTTCAAAATACACTCTAAATAAGGATATCAAAGGATAATACTTTTACCATGACTATAGTGTAGCTGATATTCAGAACTTTATTTATACATAGATCCAGATCTTCAGGTTGTAGAGATCAGAACAGATCAATTTCCAGTTACTGACAGTAAATAACTTAAGAAGATCCTTCTTCCTATCTCAGGATTTGAAAGTGCCAAATATCTCAAGACTGCTATTTGATAATTTCATTACTTATCACCTAGTTAAGGGATGTGAAGACAAAGACTCAGGATGTAATCCAAGGGCAGAAACAAAGGCAGAAACAAAACAGGATTAGTACACATACAGAGCTTTAACAATTCATTGTATCATTGCCAAAAGCAAGAAACTGGGAGAATCACCTGGTTTTCTTTGTACCCATGAAAAAAAAATCAAATGTAAGAAAATTAGGCATTTTGACTAAAACAAGGAATGCAATCTGTTCTCCTGAAGATAAAAGTATTCCTCAAAGGCCTTCAAGACATAAGAGGTTCTCTTGTGAGCAGAAAATAAAAAAAAAAAAAAAAAGACACATTAGCTAAGCAGAGGTTGTGGTGTGGAACAGGAATTTTAGAAAGGGGGGAGGAAGGGTGTCTCACCCCAAAATCTAGAGTCATGTTTCTCAGGAAGAACCTTAGGAGCTACTTGTGTTAGCTTCAATTAGTGTTTCCCAGTCACTGATCCAATTAAAGAATTCTGAATGAATGGGGATGAGGGGGCAAGAAGAGAAAGGGACATCGTGTATTGACCTGTAAACACCTAGAACATTTCTAAACCAAATTTGAGACTATATCAAATCAACTTCTCCAAGGATTTCTCTCCCATTCTATAAAATCTTTTATTGGCTCAAGTCTAGAGAATTGTATCAGCTGGTGCCTTTGAATTATGTTTTTTGGGGTTTGTATGTATTTTGTTAAAATACTGATGCCTTGATAGTATCTCCAGACAGCACCTGAAGGCAGCACAAAAATTTCTTCAAGAAAAGAAAAGTGTACTAGAATTTCATGCTGGAGTTGCACTGCCAAAATACAGTCAAGTCATTGCTTCTAGTTGTTTCTGTTTCTTTTGGGAGAGACAACATACACATTTTATCATCCTATATACACTGCCAGCACATGGATATGTAGGAGTAATGCTTAATATGATGTACAATAATTTCTTACTCCCACACGGCATAAATGAAAAGGATCTCACCTTCTGCTGGGATGATACTGGTGGCGTAGTCATCAAAGGTTTAAGCGGAACAGTGTTAGTCTGCGGCGTGCTTATCCTGGGAGAGACGTATGATCTTGGTGATGAGGCATCAGATGTTAAAGACATTGGAGACTGATTAGATGGCTGAGCTGTAAAGGAAAAAAAAATCTTTTTAATAAAACCATATCCTGTCTTAAATGTGAATTAGATTTTCTCTTGGTACTCTCGAGTATGCTGTATTAGATAATATAAAAACATGTTCACCTTGACACAGCTGCAGAGTTGAACAAATAGAGCAAATGTTCAACAACTATCCTACCTAAAGAATTGCTTTCCCCAAACTCCACTACCAAAACTTCAGGGAAGGGGGAAAAAGAAGAAACTATGCAACACTTTTTACACATGAAGAGACTAAATTAGTTTCATTTGCAACTCGTGTTTTAGAGGTCAATTTGATTTAACTGAAAGAATCCATGAACAGTTTATCTAGAAACTTATTTACTCATTCTAGACATCTACCAACAGTTCCCCACCCATGGCCAAAAATTAGCATTAGTATAATACTGATTACCTGCTCAATAAGATGACTGTTAGCTTAAGCTTCTAGCTTTACTAAGTTACAAGGAAAATATACTGAAGATATCTGAAAGAATATCTTGCCTGGAAGCTGAAAAAAATTCCCCACTAGACAGATCAAACTTTCTTTTAAGAATTTAGGGCCTCCCCCAAGAGTCACAGTTGCACAGTACTACAAGAAGGGTGTTCAAAGTGTTGTGTTCTATACTGAACATCAGATAACACGTAATTAAGGTCCAGAATAAATTAACAGGGCCTTGCAAGGTTTCACATTACTCACATAGAGTTAGTTAACATACAAAGAAAATCCCAAAAGGCAAGACAGGAGAACAGATTTACTTAGTTGTGTGTCAGACTCTTGCTCCCCAGGTAATAATTTTTTAACCCATATTTGGAAAAAGAAGTCATTCAATATCCTCCACACCTGGTGGTCAAAGATACATCATCACAGAGCTTCCAAAAATTTCAATTGTATCAGCCTTTTTAAAATGCAACATAACTATTTTATGTAAGTGAAAAGAAGACTCTGAATACCTTGTGTAGACAGTTGTGCAGCTTGAGAAATTAGGGAGGTGATATTGAAAGCAGATGGTCCAGCAGTAAGAATTTTATGGAGTATAGACTGCAGAGAGGCTTGTGTCACAGCTGCTGTTAGAACTGAAAACAAACGTTCTGTTTTACTGACAATTCTAGAACGTCACTTTAAACTATTACAACTGGCTAATTACATTTAAACCACATTTTCTTTCAGATTTTGTTCCCATATCCACAATGACCAAAGATCCACCTGAACTACTTTTTTTTAATGACTTCAATTCAAGATGACTTGGAATGTCAAGCAAATCCTTTATTTAGAAGTTTTGAGACATACACTTAATTTCTTTTAAAAATAACTTCAAGTCTTCAACTTGACCCTGTAGATCAATAATAATTCTTGTAAACATCAAGAGAACATTTGTTCAATTTACTACTGTAGCAAGCATAATGCGTGGATTTTTTTTACACTACAGTAAATTTTTAAAAAGCAAAAACCGTATCACTTTAACCCAGTAAAAGAGATGGGGGCAGACTTCCTGTTCAAGGGGAAAAGAAATATCTTTCCAGTTAAAAATCTTTCTTCTTAAAAGCAAAACAAAAAAAATCCCTTATCTGTTCTGGGTTTAGCTGTCCCATGTCATTCCTCCCAGTAAAAACATCAATCACTTTTAACCATTTTAAAACTGCAATACATAGGAAAATAATCTTACAAGATGAGTCACTGAGACTCTGAACTAACTATGAGCTTCTGAATTAATTTTTCAAAAAAGATCTACAGGCTCTGTGGGATACTTCCTGAACATACATTCCACTCATGCACAAATCTGAAAAAACTGACTCACCAGCACAAGCACAGAATAACTCTGAATCATTGTGCACAGTAAGGGCAGCCCTGCTGTGCAAGGTGAAGTCACTCTGCCCACATGGACCCAGCCAGGCCCTCATCCCACCTGAACAATTCTAAACACTCTTGTTCCAAGACAGACATAGCTGCTGCTGAGATATGGCAAGACAAAATGACTAGGAATTTCACTTGGCAGGTCTCTAATAAAATACATTTGGAGTCTTGACTGAACCTTTCATTTTTCAACCACAGTAACTCCTACTTTTTTTAGACCAACTTAATGCACTACAATTTTAAAAGTTTCTCCCTGCACAGGAAAAAAACCAAAACAGTAACCTACTTGCCTATTAGTACTGAATGAAGCCAGAATATTTGCTGATTAAAAGGAAGCAGCTGACAGCTTTTCTTATAAATAACTGCAATGTACAGAATATTTTATACATATTTTGACTGTCATGGTTTGCACTTTCACAATGTTACTTAACTCTGGGCACTACATGTAAACGTTTTGTTTCCAATAACAAACAGTGATCTATGCACAAGAAGTTCAAAGAAGCAAACAAAAAACCCCACACCACTTTCTTCATCAGTAACCTGCCACATGCAGACACCACATCAGATAAAATTACATTCTAATTGCATCAACTCTTCCTCTTCTTGCAGCAAGAGGCATTATAGCTAAGTGATAAACTGTATTCTAAGAAACTAGGCCAATGTGACAAAAATGTAAGGGATACACTGATTACATGCACAAAATTTAACTTGCTAGCACAGTTGCTGAACCTTTGTTCAGAGGCTAACTTGTTACGCTAAAGAAAAAAGTTGTCAGGCAACAAGATTTAAGAATCCCTAGAAGTTTCAGTATTTGCAAACACACATTAATAGAACAGCAGTGCAAACTACAGAAAACAAAGAACAGCGCGCGAAACAAAAGAACAAAGAGCTTTAACGAACTTTTGTGCGGCAGACGAATGCTGATACAGCGATTAAGTCACCCATCTCAATTAGGCTGCTCATGTACATCAACATTTATTAATCTGAAAACCTTGAGTGTTAAAAGAGTCTAACAGAAAAAGAAAAAACTAACAAAACAAATCCCCACTTTACCTAGGGATTAATTTCTTCACTTTTCAATTAAAATAAGGTTTCGTTTACTACAGCTTGGCATTCAATAATATACTAACACGTGTGAGAGATTACATCAACTTTAAAGAATCCTTACCTTCATTGATTTTGGATATATCTACGCTAGAATTATTAAGCTGCAAGGTGGCTTGCAGAGCAGGCAGCAGCTGTCGAAGGAGATTTGGGTCCTGAAGTAATGGAGGAATTGGTGATTGTGGGACAGGTGAAACAGGAACTGTAGGAGCAGATGAAGCAGGCGCAGAAGTTGGATTCAGTCCAGAAGCAGAAGATGTAGAAGGAGTTGTGCAAGAATGGGATACAGACTTGTCCACAGATGCAGACTCTGAACAGAAGACAGACAGTATTTTTCATTTTCCCCAATATAACCTGACAACTTCTCACTAATACAATATTCATATTAAATACAGAAGATTAAATACCTAACTATTATTATAAGAAAAACACCCACTTCATTATTAAAAGAAGATACTTTATATCTAGTGCAATTTACGCTACTGAACCTAATATTTATTAGGAACGCACACACACAACTTTTCCACTCCACGATAATGGATGGAAAGCTGCCAGGATTAAAAATGGGATGCTTTTCCCCCTTGCTTTTAGGACAAACGCAGGCCAAAAATTCCTTAGCCGTCTTTTTCTTTTACTGTGCATTTACTCATATTTTACATTTTCACTTATCAATCTTTCTTTGGAAAATATACTATGAACAAAAACCTTACAGCCCATGGACTTCACATATAAACTACTATGTCAAATTTGAAGGAGGGTATAAGTCATGCTTCATTTATTAAGAGATCAGACTACAAGAAGTTGCAAAATAAAGACTAACTCTCATACAAAATCCAGCTACACTTCTGAGCATTTAGACAAGAAAATGAGCTGTACTGGAAATGTAAAAAAAAGTGCTGTTAACATCCCCACAGCAGAGAGGAAAAATATCTAAAAATGTATCTTCCCATAATTAATTTTTAACTTGTCAGTTTCTCCTGAAGCATCAAGACCTATATCCTTTATTTTAATATCATTTTAGCAAATATCACCACTTGTTATGCATAGAAATACGTAGTACCTAAATTCAATTATACCGTACGGTAATTTGTTCTCATTGAGTTATTTAATTAATTTGAAATTTGATGTCCAGTTAACAGAGAAGTTGCTCCTCCATTCCAGCACTGTGAGAAATTTCTTCAATTAAAGTATTTCAAATTACTACAGGTGTACCATCAGCCCCCAAATTCACTCAATACTAATGGTTCTGTAGCACCAAACAAGCTGGATACAGACAGTAAAGCGATGGATCCAAGATCACACCCAGGACATTTTCCCGTAATACTGAAGACCTGCATTTTGAACCCACCTCAAATGGGCAGAGAAAGCCAACCTGGATATTCCCCATTTCAGGTAAAAATCCAAATGAAAACTAAAATAACTGGCTGGCAAATTCTTTTACTTTAAGGCATATTTGTTTGGTTTTTTCCCCTCTGGAGAGATGGTCAAGGTAAGAAGATGATAATTTAATTAATATAGAAGACAGAAAGTCTTGTTTTGTTTTACTACCTAAGAATAAAGTGTTACAGAATTTCTAACAGCTTTTGTTTTCCCAATAACCTTAACTGCAGTTTTTAAGGCTAATTTGGAGAAGAACCCTAAAAAAACCCAAACATAAAATATTACAGAAGTGAGTATCAATATGCAATCCAGTGAGATTAGAAATCTCAGTGAAAAGAAAGGGGACTTTTGTTTCCATGCAGTTATAGTAAAAATAGTTTACAAAGCTCACAAATACTCCAAAAACTTTTTCCAGACAAATAACTGAGAAATCTGAACCAGAAAAAAAGCCACTGAAGAATCCAAATTTGAGAGCTTGCAAGGATGCAACAGCCAGGGCACAAACATACACTTTGAAACTTCAGGTAAACTTCTGAAAAAGTTGTGGCCTTATCTAATTACAAACTCCTTGGGGTAAGGGGTTGGTCGCCAAGTATCTGTGAGGGCACCTGGTCATTTGGCCAAGAACTTTCCTAAGAACAACTTCCAACGGGACAAAAGGGGTTACCAAGATTGAAGTTGGAGGGGATAGGGGTCAAGCAGTTACAAAATTTCTGCATGGTTTTCAGTAACACAACTGATTAGGTATTAACCCCCATTAAACCAGTAAGTCATTAGTAAAAGTCTTTGTTAAAAGCTATTGCATATAAGATCTTCTAGTGTACAAAGTAAATGTTAAGACAACTGCCGGTCAAGACACATCTAACAAACATGAATCTTATCATACTAAACAAGAACACATGGAATTTAAATTGAACTTGGATCTGCCACAGTCCAAATAAGGACAGGATGCACTGGTAAACAAAAGCAAGAGAAATAAGCACAATGGGGCACGTTAGTACTTGTATAAACACACAAGCATCCTACCCTGCAGTTTTGAGAACCTTACAAAAACATCCAAATAAAAAAAACCCCAAATAACAAAACACCCTCATTTCAAAACAAACAAACAAACAAATACTGAGCAACTGCCAGCACTAATTTCAAAAGATATTTAATGTAGTTAGGCTTCTCTTCACAGTTAAATATTGAGTTATTTTAAGAAGCAACTCAGTACTATGTTATTAACTCACATAAGCAATACCTGACCCTCAAACCACACCAATGCCAACCCGATGGAAGTGTTTTTCACCCATACTGCAGCTCTGAACAAAAAATACAATAAATCAACAGCAAACTCAAGCTAATAATGCAGTGAAGACAAACCTTAAGCTCAGTTCTGGGTATTCACTCATTTCTTGAACAACAGAACTCAAAACATGTCACTCAAAATTACTGAATTCCATGATGTCTGTAGAAGTACTTTAGCTTGGGTGAGTTTCTATGCTACAAAAATCCACAATGAATCACATCAACTCAACACAGTCCAGTTATTTCTTTTAGACAACTTGGAGACACTATTCCATATCTGTATTATTGCAGATTTTTTAAGTATGTGTTAAAATCTATCAGTGAAAGCTATTTTTTGTACAATCACCCAAATCAAACATCTAAAGATGCAAAACCAGAACATTGTCTAATACTAACATTCCAATCTTTTGAGATGCTTTACAACACAAAATCAACAGCCTAAATGTTATGAAAAAATACATCTCTATGATCGTGATTACATGTATATCACAGAGGATGCAGAGTACAATAACTGTCCAGAGAATCACTACACTACACAAATTAAGTAATTTAACTTATCTGTAGCGAAAATACGAGATATAAACCTGTTTCTGCCAAAAAAACTCTGTAAAAAGTATTTGTGGAAATACAAGTATTTCTTTTTTGTATTAAGTAGCTGTACTGGTTCCAGCCAGGACAGAGTTAATTTCTGTAGTGGTTGGAGGGGCAGTTATCCTGTATCAACTCACCACTGCCTGGAAGAAGGGGGTCCTTCCCAGTCAGGGCACTGTGGCAGTGATTGGAGTATTATAGGTTCCCACGTGGTGAGGGAGTTTTGTGTGTGAAGCATTCATCTCTCTTTTACACCCTTTTATTAATATTGTTGCTGTTACTGTTTCTTATTTCATTGCTGTTTCCAGTAAGTTGCTCTTATCTTGACCTGTATCTTTACCTTTCGTACCTCCAATTCTCCTCCCCAGCCTGCCACAGGGGAGGGGGCAGCAAGAGCAAACAGCACTGTGATTTGGAGTGTTGCAGTGGGAACACTAAACTGGGAAACATCACTCCTAAACCACAACAGCCTTGAGTGGTACCCAAAATGGGGCAAAAGAGTTGAGACAACAGATATGACCAAAGCAGTTGGAAACAAATTTGATCTGAGCATTTGTTGTATTAGGTACAGAGCCACTGACCACAATGCTGCTCGGTCTGTTCACATGGTTGTGGTACCAACCATGCATATATTCCCATATAGGCACTGTGTGCCCATCATAATGCTCCTCTTCAGAGCAGGGAGAGGGACCGGGATTGCTTTGTTACTGTATTGTGGATTACCAGTTTATGACACGATAAAATCAAGGGCAATGAGGGTCACGTGGGATGTGCATTGAGTGCTACTCTCCTGCCCTTACCTCAGACACTACCTTTGTGAGCAGATTAATAATCATACCCTCTCTGTGCACGGAACAGGGGAGGATGATTTTCCCCAGCTTTTCACCCCCTTTTCCTCTTTCAGGCCTGTTACAACAGCTTTTGAGAAACTGGAATTTCCTCTGGATGTTAAGGAACACATAGTCTTGGTGCTATGTCTGCTATGTTTTCTCAATATGGTTTACACCATGCTTAGAGTCAGGAGAGATATTTATAGGAAGGTCATTCAGAGATCTGCCCTGAGGGTGGATAGTCAAGAGTGGCATGGAAGGTGAGAGAAAATGGGCCAGTTTTTGGGGAGATTCTCTGCTCCAATGGTTTGAAACTTCACCCCTGAACAACTACAGGACCCTGTTAAAGGAGAATGCGGTGCCAACTCCAGAGCAGCACCTTGCAGCAGTGTGCTGGGCCACAGCTATTCTTTCCTGGACACATTTCCATAGCAGAAAGTAACCTCAGGGGGAGGAGGAAAGCAGAACAACAGGCACTGTAGCCACTCAAACACGAGCTGAACATGATGAACAACCTGTGCTGGCAACAATTGCCCCTATACAGAAGAATCCAAGACCAAATCAGTTTGCTTAGTGAGGGATGAAGAGGAAGCACTGCCTTCGAACAGGAGGAAGAGGCAGAGCCAGAAATAATCACCCAATCCCTATCCCCAGGTGAGTTATGAGCTATGCAAAAAAAGATTTCAGCCACCACTTGGGTGAGTCCCTGGTGATTGCTGGCACCAGGCTGGATGTTAAAAGGGAAAGCCCCCTCCACACGTCATGCCACTGATGCTACATGGAGTAAGTGGGTTGGGCTGATCACACAGCGAGCTCGAACAGGAAATCCCAGTCACTCAGGGACCTTGGAGATCATCACAAACTGGTCAGAAGACTAAAATTTCTGACTATCATCAGAAGAGAAGGAGGAAAAGGCAACAAATGCTGAGGAGGCCCCACCATATAATCAGCGTAACACACTCTCTTTACTGATGGTTCCTGCTCTATCACAGGGACGCCCTGATAAAGGACAGCTGCCGTCTAGAACCCTATGCGATGACTCGCAGAAGCTTTTGGTGAACAAGGTGGATCGATTCACATTGCAGAGCTGAAAACATTCAGCAGACTTAGGTATCGCTGAACAAGAGGGATGGCCAGCACTCTACTTCTACACTGACTCATGGATGGCAGCAAATGCTCAGTAGGGGTGGCTGGATCGATGGAAAAAGACCAACTGGCA